AGAGAGAGAGAGAGAGAGAGAGAGAGAGTGTGTGTGTGTGTGTGTGTGTGTGTGTGTGTGTACGTGTGTCCATGTATCTGTATACCTATATCTCATTCTATATGTATATCTGCTTTCTACTCTATATCTACACACTAACTCACACATACATATATATCCTACAGATGTAGTTGTATATATGTACAAATAGACATCCACAAACATGACTATCTATTTACATATAATAAAAGAGAAACGCGGAAGCACACGCACGCACGCACTCATATAAACATTAACTGTAGAAAAATACCCTGATGTATAAATTACGTAATATCAGTTATATTAGTAATCATAACATCAATAATATGAAAACAACAACAAAAACGACAGCAAAAACACAAACAATTCTTGACTAATACTGAACTTTGAAATAAAAATAAATAAATAAATAAATAAAATGAAAAATTGTGTATGAAAGTTAGGATTTGCTTTATTTATTGTCAGTAGAAAATATCTAATGACTGCCACGTTACAAATTAATAAAAATATCCCCTAAAAAAGAAAATTATATTATGCACTAATTTCTAATAATCTAAATAGGAAAAAGTTGTTCAGTTTTATGAACTACGGAACAGACCAGTAGTTTTTTCATGTTTGGTATTTCTGAAACCAAAATAAAATAATCTAATGGTCGTATTTGTTTTACTTACAATGAGCATAGATCATTTTCTTCGCGTCTTCAAGAAGTCCATCCAATCTCTTATTTGCCTTCTTTCACAACACAAAAAATCTTCTGCCACCAGTCGCACAAACCTCAATCCTCCACGTTTCCCACTCTTCACAAAACACCCGAGTTTCAAAACGCAATTTTTTTCCTCAAGTTTCAAAAACAATTTTACACTCGAGGTTCATCCCCACACATGTCCTGGGAACCGAGCGGAGAGCGGCACAACATCTCTCCTCCGCGTCCAGAGAGCTACTGAGGGTCGTGGTCGCTCTCAGTCACACCTCCCGTTGGCAGCGCTGTCTCGGTGCCAGGGACGCCGCACTACCAGACGAATTTCCTATTTTCTTTTATCTTCTTCTTCTTCTTCTTCTTCGTCTTCTTCTTCTTCTTCTTCTTCTTCTTCTTCTTCTTCTTCTTCTTCTTCTTCTTCTTCTTCTTCTTCTTCTTTTTCTTCTTCTTCTTCTTCTTCCGTTTCTGTTCTTCTTTCTTTCTGTTTCCATTTTTTCCATTTCTTTCTTTCTGTTTTCATTTTTTCCATTTCTTTCTTTCTGTTTTCATTTTTTTTCATTTCTTTTTTTGTTTTCATCTTTTTCCATTTCTTTCTTTCTGCTTTCATTATTTTCCATCTCTTTCTTTCGTTCTTTCTTTCTGTTTCTCTCTTGTTGTTCTGCTTGCTGATGTTTTTATTTCTTTTTGTTTTCTCCTTTTCCTTCTGTTTTGTATGATGATGATTGTTATTATTATTATCATCATTATTATTATTANGCGTGGGAAGGGAGAGGGGATGGAACGTGGGGACAGGGGAGGGGAACACAAATTCATGGCAAATAAGACAAATAAGTAATCAACTCCATTCGCTTCGATTGATCATGATTCAGGTTGATCGAGGCCTCGCATTTGTCGTGGGATTAGGGAGGGGGGGGGGGGGAGGCAGAGAGGTAGGGAACGGGGGAGGGAGGGAAGGGGAAGGAAGGAGAGGGAGGGAAGTGAAGAGGGAAGGGAGGGAGGGGGAGGGAGGGAGAAGAAGGGGGGAAGGGAGGGAGGGAAAGAAAGTGAAGGGGGAAGGGAGAGAAAGCGAGGGAGAACAAGTGGGGGGAAGGGAGGGAGGGAAGAAAGTGAGAGAGAGAGAGGAAGGGAAGGCAAGGAGTAGAGATGGAATAGGGAGAGGAGCAGAAGGGAAAAGGGAAGGGGGAAGGAGAGGAATAGGGGAGAGGGAGGGAGGAAGGGGAGGGGAGGGGGGAATGGAGAAGAAAGGAAAGAAGAAGGAAAGGAGATTGAAAGAGAAATGATTGTAAGGAAGGGAAGGAGGGAGGATTTGAATAGGGGAGTAGAGGAAGGGAAGGAGGAGGAAGGGAAGGAGGGGGGGAGGGAGAGGAGGGAAAAGGATAGATGTTGGATTAGTATGAGAGGGAGGGAGGAAACAGAGGGGAAAAGGAAGAGACGGGATGAAGGATGCGAAAGAAAGGAGTAAGGAAAGGGAAGGAAAGGAAGGAAAGGGAAAAAGAGTTAAAGGAAGGAAGTGAAGATCAAGGAACGATAGGGAGGGAAAGGAGAAGGGACGGGAGGGAGGAAGGATTGGGAAGGAGGAAGCAATTGGAAGGTGGAAGGGAGAAGGGATAAGAGAGAAAGGATTAGAGGGAGGATGAGGAGGAAGAAGAGAAAGGAGGAAAGGAAGAGAAAGAGAGTAAACGTAAAGAGGGAGGTAAGAAAGGGTTTCAAAGGAGGAAGGGAAGATTTTGATTAAGGTAAGAAAGGAAGGGTGGAAGAGAAGAGAGGAAAGGAAGAAGGGAAAGAAGGAGGAAGGGAGAGAGGGAAGAAAGAATGAGAGAGAGGGAAAGGAAAAAGGGAGGAAGTGAGAGAGAGAAAAAGGAGGAAAGAGAGGAAAGGAAGAAGGGAGGAAGGGAGAGAGGGAGAAAATGGGAAGAGAGGAAATGAAGAAGGAAGGGAGGGAGGAAGGGAGAAAGGGGAAAGAATTAAGTAAAATGACAGGGAAGAAAGAAGAGAGGGAGAGGGGGAAGAGAGGAAAGGGAGAATGGAAAGAAAGGAAATTAGGAAGATAAGAGAAGAGCGAGAGAAGAAGGAAAAGGTAGGGAGGATGGAGGGAGGACGAGAGTGTAAGAAAGGAGGGAAGGGAAGGGAAAAAAGAGGAAGGGAGAGAACGAAGATCAAACAGAAGGAAGGAGGGAGAACGAGATCGGAGGGAAGGAGGAGGATTTAGGAGGGAGGAAGGACGAGAGCGAAGGGAAGGAGGGAATGAGAGGAAGAGAACAGAAAACGTGGAATGTGAGGGGAGACTTGTTTAATAAACGTCAAGACTACATTGTAACCCATGGAATGTCGAAAGTGGGAGGGTGGTGGGCTAATTGTATTTTTGGAGGAGGAGGGGAAGATGAGGTCGGAAGGGAAGGGGGACTGAGAGAGAGAGGAGAGAGAGAGAGAGAGAGAGAGAGAGAGAGAGAGAGAGAGAGAGAGAGAGAGAGAGAGAGAGAGAGAGAGAGAGAAGAGAAGAGGAACCAGAAGCAGGAGAGAGGGACAGAGAGAGAGAGGCATAACAGAGAGAGAGAGAGAGAGAGAGAGAGAGAGAGAGAGAGAGAGAGAGAGAGAGAGAGAGAGAGAGAGAGAGAGAGAGAGAGAGAGAGACAAGAGAGAGGAAGACAGACAAGACAAACAGGAGAGAGATGAGAGACGAGAGAGAGAGAGAGAAGATGAGACGAGAAGAGAAGATAGACGAAGAGAGAAGAGAGAGAGAGAGAGAGAGAGAGAGACGAGAGAGAGAGAGAAAGTAGAGAGAGTAGAGAGAGAGAGGAGAGAGAGAGAGAGAGAGAGAGAGAGAGAGAGAGAGAGAGAGAGAGAGAGAGAGAGAGAGAGAGACTACCAGAGGGAGGAGGGGAGGGAGAGAAGAGAGAGAGAGAGGGAGAGAAGAGAGAAGAGAGAGAGAGAGAGAGAGAAGAGAGAGAGAGAGAGAGAGAGAGAGAGAGAAGAGAGAGAGAGAGAGAGAGAGAAAGAGAGAGAGAGAGAGAGAGAGACAGCAGAGAGACGGCATACAGAGAGAACGAGAGAGTAGAAGAGAGAGAGAGGAGAGAGAGAAGAGAGAGAGGAGAGATCGCGAGAGAGAGGAGAGAGAGAGAGATGAGGAGAGAGAGAGCAAAGACAGACAGACAGACACGAGAAGAGAGAGAGAGAGAGAGAGAGAGAGAGAGAGAGAG